CAAGTTGAGCCTTATTCATTATTAAAGATATATATAAAACGAAATCATCACGCATAGTTACACTGTTATTTTGCAACTCATTAATCATTAAGTCTTGCTCTGCCCCAAAAAATAATCATTAATAATTCAGTATTCATTTTTCTCTAACCGTTATTTAGTTCGAAAAAAACAGAAGGAAACAAAGAAATATCCCTTCAGTCCCCTTTGACTCCATTTATAATAAAAAAAGAAATTAAAGTAAAATAAAAAAAAAAATCACCTCATCTGGACTCCCTTTATAATTTTTGTGTTAACCAAATAAAAAATTTTATCTACTAATTAAAAAGAAAAAAGGAAAGAGAAAATTTATTTCTTTCTCTCTTCTCAAAGGAAACAAGTTATTAGTTAATTATTCTCCTATTGTTGATATAATCCATAGGGACCTCAACTGATCCCACATGATCAGGTGATTCAATGTTTTAATGATATCCCGTAATCACGCAAGGTTATTTAAGTAATTTTAATTTCCCATTTGCATGTCTATAATTATGCAGTTAATCTCCATTTCCTCATCAGCTCCATGCACAGGCCAAGCTAGCCATGGAATTCGTTGTTACTTTCCTTCTCTTCGCATTTTTCATCTCATCCACCAATGCTCTAGACCCTTGCGCCTCCCAAACCGACGCTTTAGATCTCTCCCTCATCCCAATTTACGGCAAATGCTCGCCGTTTAACCCGCCTAAACCCGTCTCATGGCTCAACACCGTCATTGACATGGCCTCAAAGGACCTCCAAAGGGTCAACTACTTATCCACCCTGGGGGCCCAAAAGACAACTTCCGCTCCCATCGCCTCTGGGCAACAGGTGCTCAACATTGGCAACTACGTCGTCCGTCTCAAGCTTGGTACTCCGGGTCAGCTCATGTTCATGGTTCTGGATACAAGCACTGACTCCGCCTGGGCCCCATGCTCCGGTTGCATCGGTTGCTCTGCTACAACCTTCTCACCCAATACTTCTTCCACTTACGGTGGGTCATTGGATTGCTCCACGGCCGAATGTACCCAGGTCCGTGGCGTTTCCTGCACCGCCACCGGATCCACCGTTTGCTCTTTTAACCAATCCTATGGTGGGGATTCGTCCTTCTCGGCCACCCTAGTGAAAGATTCTTTGAGCTTAGCCAACGACATCGTGCCGAACTTTGCTTTCGGGTGCATTAACAGTATTTCCGGCAAGTCAATTCCGCCGCAAGGTTTGCTGGGCTTGGGCCGTGGGCCCATGTCACTGCTGTCGCAATCCGGGTCACTCTACTCGGGTGTGTTCTCATATTGCTTACCCAGCTTCAAATCCTACTTCTTTTCCGGATCCCTCAAACTCGGACCCGCGGGTCAACCCAAGAGCATCCGGACCACTCCACTCCTCCAAAGCCCCCACCGCCCGTCGCTCTACTACGTTAACCTAACCGGAATCAGCGTGGGTCGGGTTCGAGTCCCCATTGCACAAGAACTTCTAGCTTTCAACCCGACCACCGGTTCCGGCACCATCATCGACTCTGGTACGGTCATAACCCGATTCGTCCAACCCGTCTACAACGCTATCCGGGATGAATTCAGAAACCAAGTGAAAGGCCCATTTTCGTCTCTGGGGGCGTTCGACACATGCTTTGCTGCGACCAACGAAGATCTGGCGCCGGCAATTACGTTTCATTTGACGGGATTGACCCTGACATTGCCGATGGAGAACAGCTTGATTCATAGCAGTTCGGGGTCGGTGGCTTGCTTGGCAATGGCGGCGGCGCCGAGTAACGTGAACTCTGTGTTGAATATCATAGCTAATTTACAGCAGCAGAACCTCCGGATTATGTTTGATGTGGCGAATTCTCGCCTGGGGATTGCTCGTGAGATCTGTAATTAGTTTCGGTTTTATTGCTTTCCCTCTCTCTTTCTCCTGGGTTATGCTTTAAGTGTGTTAATGCTAAATAGAATGTAAAATTGTGTTTTTGGCTGGAAGTAATATAAATGCATGTAATGTTCTAAGTTTTAATTGCGAAAAGAAAAGAAATGGGAAAATTGCATTTTTGCTTACCATACAGACCTGCCTTTTTTTGGCAGCAAAAATGAGATGATTAAGATTTTATAGATACGAGGAGATAAGGGTACATCTTGGACCATTTTTTGGAGGAGTGGAGGGGGGGTGTTTGTGTGAAGTGACTTGAGCATCGCCTGAGTATGGTGAAATCGTCAAATCGACCTAATAGCATATCTAATCTATCAAACTTGTTCGTGTTGTTTGTAAGCACCACCATCAGAGTTGAATAAATTATCAGGGATGTTAGTGGATCTTGTATGTCTGTACAGCCACAATAGACGATCCACTGTCAGATTCTATGAATAGCTATCATTTGGAATAAGTCCTTGAAGGGGGAGGGGGCTGAGGCTGACTTCCTCCTCCAGCAGGTTTGTCCGCGTTATGTGTTACATGGGCTTCAGATCTTCCTCTGTCCAGAATTCTTGTATGTTGGTCTTCTAATCTTCTGCCTCCATCCGCGTTGTGGTTCTCTACTTTCCTAGATTTCTGAATTTGAAAGTGTTTGAGCTTCTAGTCCTGCTCCTTTGTCAGGGTTGTGGCTGGATTGACTAGTTTCCGTTCCTCTCTCTTCGGGATTTTGTGCAGTTTGATGAATTTCAGAACCTTTGCCTTTTTCTGATCGACCTTGACTTGGATGCATGTTTTGAAGTTCATTTGCAATCTGGTTTCGCCGCTCCTTCAAAAAGTTGAGTCGGTTTGACAACTTTGTGAGTGTAGAACTTGAGTTGGCTCCCTATTTCATGCGAATTAAGATGTCAGGTAAGTTAAACTATCCAATCTTTATGATGTGAGGATTTCATGTTAAGTTGGTCACTAGAAGAATGCATAGCCAATAAACAGCTTAATTGCATCAGATCCCAACTCCAGAAAGGGCAGTAGTTTTCTACAAGATTCTTTCTCTTTAACAACAATATAAATGATATGGCACACACAATGTTATAGAATGATAAAACAAAAACATGCTATCTAGAGAATTTAGAGAAAATAAATCCTGATACATGGTGTAGTCTTGTAGACCCCTAACCAGTTAAAATTTTATATGATGCATTGCTGGCTCACTTTCAAGAAACTCATATAAATCTTGATATAAAGAATTTCATAGTATTGGCATCGTGGTTAAAATATAATGGAACCTACCTCACCCTTTGTACCAAACTTCTTGGGAGGCTTGGATGGTATCTCTTCGGCAGAACCAGCAGCCACATGATTCGACAAGGAGTTGCTGCTACGTGCTGAATCCAACTGCTGGTTTTGAGATGGCTGTTTTTTCAGTACAAATGGTTCCTGCTTCTTCTCATTCTCATTCTGATTCCTGGTTCCACCCATATAACCATCCTGGGTTTTCCGTTTTTCCTGTTTTATATTTAGAGCTGGGTTCAGTAGATTCCATCGGAAAAAATTTCTATACTGGCCAAAAATGCAAGTTAACTGGTAGTTGAGCAACCTCAGAATTAGTATTAAAGTTATAAAAAAACACATTGACTGAGCTCAAACTTATTTTAGTTGTAATGCTTAAAGAGGCTGGCTGCAGAAGTTCAATGCAACATTTAGAATCAGATCTATTGTTCAATAAACAGAGTAAAAAATTTAAACTTTCTGCCAAAGAAAAACACTCATTGAAAACAATAAAGAGGAAACATGTGAAGAAAAGTCACTTAAAAGCTAGTGGTGATCTCACCACGAATTTGCAGGGTAGAGGTTACTGCCTTGGGTCCATCGTGGCGATCTCACATCTAATTTGCATGGTAGAGATTCAAAGTCAAAGAAATATCTAAACCAAATTATGAGTATGGCAGCTTTCCCTTATTCTTCTCTCTCTCTCTCTCTCTCTCTCTCTCTCTTTTTTGGGCTAGAATTGTCAATGAGAATAGTTATGGTCAGAAGGTGGTTTCAAACCAATGCTTGGCTTTCATTTACAATGAACGGAGCTAAGCTCAGAAAGACAATTCTTACTGTGTCTAGGCGACCTGGTTCTTTATTTACTTTATAGCTGTTAGTTCATTACTGGATGCTAGCATCTTTATAAATGATAATATACATTTGACTGCACAGCACATACAACATGAAATTAGGTGAAGTTATTTCCCTTCAAAGCCTCTCAGCTTTTCCCTTTGGTGGCTCTTCCTTAATTGGTTCACAATTCTCCTTGGTAAGTATTTTCAGGATCTAACAACAGGTGTATCAGTGTATGGGACAGAGTGGCAACAAGTGTATCAGGATTCAAGTTCTGAACAATTTCCAAGGGAAACAAAAGAGACATAATACTATTCCCTTGATATCAAATGCAAATTCCAGATTTAGAGAAACAAGTTGGATAGGTCAGAGGGAGGTTTTGCCCAATAGTTGTTAGACCTAGTAAAAATTCCAACATTCAACTAACTCTCATTAATTTAGCACGAGACTAAGCACCTCAAGTTGTAACATGTCTGAAATGAATGTGAATTTACC